GACAGAGATGGACACGTTAACTTCTGCGGCCGTTGCCCTCAAATTACAGGATGGTTTTGTAAACCGTAAACCACCCGAGGGCCGGAGACGGATTCCCTTGCGACAAAAACATTTAGCCTTCCTCCTCAAACGGACGCAGACTCATCTGGAAACGCTGTTTTTAAACTGTCCAAAGAGTTCTTTTGCCACAAAAGATGTGTACGCAGCACCAAAAAGTTTGAATTTACTCATCACAGTGAAATCACCACACATTCAACACCATCGGGTTTGGACGAAAACCTTTGTAAAAAAACGAATAAAAAGGTGATGGTTGAAGAAAGAAACCCGTAACTGAGGACGCGACGCCAATAAGCCAAATTACAGCGGCAGCTGAACGTGGATTTTAATGTGTGGAGTCACCAACAGCTAAAATAGGGCAGATCCAAACAGCAACAAGGACTATCAAATGAGATTGTTGCGGCATGGCGTAACGGTGCTCTGCGTGTGTGTACGTGTGTGTGTGTGTGTGAGTGTGTGAGTGTTGGTGATCCTCGACTCACATTTCCGTGCAGTGAGAAGATGTTTACAATAACAGGCTCCGCTCTGTGTAGGAATGGGAGTCAAGGAGGAGGCCATCTGCTAATCTACACACATACACAAGAACGACAGAGCTCCCAGAATAAGAATGAGTAAACTGGAAGGTTTTCTCCGTATCTGCACACATGTGGGCTCATGGGTTGCCTATGGACACAATAAACACAGATTTTAAATTACTTCAAAGCATCCTTACTTTTCTATGTCTGTTTGTATACTAAAGTCTAATGTATCTGCTTTCCAAATGATCCTTTCAGAAAAAAATAGATTTTAAAATGAAACCAACTGTTCTCCGGGGAGCACCGGTCAAAAGCCGACAAATGTGGACACACGAGCAAACACGCTGGAGTGTATTTACTTAACGAATCACAAAAATGTGAATTGTCGGGGTCAAAAGGTGAGGTTTTGTTTTTCCTCCTCCGGTTGTGTTGTTGGGAAAAGACAGCAAGCAGAAGCAATCACACAAATGCGCACAAACGTACACACAATCTGACAAGAAAAGAAAAATGCACGGGCAAGTTAAGAGCAGAGAAGGAAGCACTCAGCAAAGGCGCCCCAACAGTTCATTTCCTTTAGCACTACATATCGCCTTCCGGGCCAACGCACTACCCAGCTGCCGGAGTCCTCAGTTCATGACCCCCATTGTCTGCAGGCCTGCGTGCACACGGACTACACGGACGCACAACGGCGAACCTGTGAGGCCTGTTGCACAACCAGCGATGGCTGCTCCATCAGCGAGGACAAGGCGCAGCAGTACACAACAACAACGACAATTACAATAACGCAGTATACAGTCAGTATTACACTTGTTTGAAGATGTTTTCACAGAAACATAAAATGAACTTTATAGAGAGCTCTAATCATTTTAATAGTGTGTTTTAATAAAAAATAAATCAACTACAGCCGGTAATAAAAAAGTACAGTACATTACTGCGGGGACGAAGCTACTGTGTAGTTCCAGAAATTGAAGATCGTGTGATGGTTTTTGTGTGCAAAATATATCGCATATTGAATGACGTCCCATCTAAAATTAAATTCGATAAATTAGCGCATGGTGGCTAACATTTCTGAGTGACAGACCAAAAGAAATAATAATAACTGGCACGAGTTAATTTCCGACCCGGCAATGTATCATTATCTGCTGTATGATGTGAATTCTTAAGTATCAACGTGAACTTCAAAATGCAACAAAAAGCAAAAAAAAACCTGAAATGACTTTACTGCGGGTTAGACTGACTTTAAATAAACTTCTAGAAATTGAATAATTATTCAAATACTCCCTTTTCTTCTGTGCTCACTGGCCACTGTGGCAGCACAGTAAAGCCCTTTGAGGTCTCCCTAAATAAATCATTGGGTTGAGGAGAGGGATCGCTGCTCTCTAAAACGGACATTCTTTGCCACAAACATCCACGGATGCTCATTTATTTTAAAACACACATCATACAATTCGTCCATTTGATGACTTTGATGTGTGGCGGGTCAAGGGGGCCACTAGGGGCTCCGGGGGGCTTGTGCTAACATGCAGCTCACTCTTGAGCATTCTGGTACACACTGTTCTCATGCATGACACACACACACACACACACACACACACACACACACACACACACACACACACACACACACACACACACACACACACACACACACACACACACACACACACACAGAAGACATACCTTGCCCGGAAGTGGGCATGTCTGGAACTGAGAGATGAAATCCAGTGGACAGCACGGGGTGGCCGGGTTGCGCTTGCGCACGCACACACACACACACACACACACACACACACACACACACACACACACACACACACACACACACACAGGCACCTACATGGTGGGCCACTTCAAACACATTCCACAGCATGCACGGCATTGTCGGAAAATGCCACTGTGCGCCCCAGCGGACAGAGCATGAGAATCCAAATGGACTACAGACAAACCCACCAGGGCACCTTTAGTCGTCCTGATTTAGATTTTTTGATTTTAAAAACAACCGTTCCAACAGTTGCTCTTGGACAAACGGGGAATTTCTCTCACGTCGTCGGGGTGGGAGATTCTTTAGGCTCTTTGCAGTCTGTGTGACTTGGGGCGATTTAAGAAAGCACACAGAGTGTGGAACGCGTACGTAACAACACGCATGCACACTGCCCCCTTTTTCCAACAGAGCTGTGCTTACAAGCCCGAGAGGAACAAGAAGGGGGCAAGGCAGCCGTTGCACAACCTTTTTTTTTTTTTTTTTTTTGTGAGTTGAACCACGGAGACGGGCTACTTACTCCAGAAAGCGCCCGAGAACTACGACAAACTGAAGCCACCCCATCAAAAGCAATCAACAAACAGCGGTGCTGTACCAAACGGCTTTATTACTCTCTGTAGAGGGCATTCAGCCGCCACAGGGGGGTTTACATGTCAATACGGCTTCCTCTTTCCCATGGCTGAGGGGGGGGGGATGTCAGGCAGCGTGTGGCTTCAGAGGGAAATATTTTAAGTATTTCAGACGTAAACAACTCAAGAGTTCCCAAATATGGCCACTTCCCAGAGAATTGAGTGAATCAGTAACCAGAAACAGCCAATGCCACGGACCCCACTCCAAGAGGGGGGAGAGAGAGAGAGAGAGAGAGACCCGGTCTCATGAGACCCCCTCTCAGGGGCCTCTGCTCTGTCTACATACATGACCTGTGTAAAGGAGACAGAAGATTTCCTTTCAACCTGTGCCGCTGGAAGACATTTTTAAGTGATACAACTCAAACGTTGGAACAGCCTAAAAACAACAAACAAACGGGAGTTTATTAATGGTTTCATTAGACGCTGACTTGTTCCCTAATTTTAGTCTGGTGTAATAGCTCTGTTATTCTGCCCACGTGCGCTGAAACATTTTGTGGACTTGTGCAACACATCATCTAAAAACACTGAGCACAAGTCTGAAGCGCACAGATATAGGTCAAAGGTTTAACCTGATTAAATGATCAATCTCAGAAATTCAGTGGGATATTCTGTGTTTATACCTAATGTGTTTTCAGTTGTGGCATTTTATTATTTGAGCTGATTTAACAGTAGTAAGTCACCACATGGTCAAACAGAATTTACTACAGTCTACTTCACATTGTTTTTCCTTTTCTACACTCCATTAAATCCGCTCCCACTGTCAATGCCTTTGAAGAATATAACAAGTTTGACAATTCAGTCAAGTAATTTAGTATTTTCTGCAGCTTGGGTAGGCTACATCTGACATCTCTAACTTAGAAGTGTAAAATCATATTTATCCCAGATTTGGAATGACGTGTTACACCAGTTAAACGGATCAACTGATTTAAAGTGTCTTCCCTTCAAAGCAACAGCAGCCAGCTGTAAACTACTCACTATGCAATACACATATAAATAAAACTCATCACTGCACGGATGTTATTGTGGCGAGGTTATTAGGACCTCCAGCTCTCCGTGTCTGTGTGGCAGAGCAAATGTTCCCATGTGACTCGCTGCGATCTAAAAAAAAATTAAATAAAAATGGATCCATCGATAACAACAACAACAACAAATGAAACAGCACCACAGAAAACAACCTCCACGATCTGCTCTGCAGCCCCGCGCGTTAATCCACCGCCTAGAAAAGACACTTCTTAGCGGCTAATTTGTTTACGTTCGGGCTGCAGCAGTGTGCGTGTCCGTGCGTGCGCGTGTCCGTGCGTGCGTCGCTTCTGAAGCGTGTCTGTCGCCGTAAGAGGCCTATAGTAGCGCGCACAGGGCCGACCCTGCTGCTCCCGGTTTAGACCGCCGCGGCGGACCGCGCCGGTCCCGTTCCAGCGACTAATCCGGCGCATCCGACACACCGCGCACCTCCGGGGGGACGCCGCGGGCGCGCGGATATCAGAATCGATCACGTTACCCGAGAAATGCCAATTGTATTTTGCGCAGCTACGCGCACGCAAAGAGTGGAATTACTCGCCCTTTAATTAGACCCTGCATGCGACGTTGCGCATGCGCAAAATCGAAGGCGAGAGCCTCGTGACCCGCATCGCAAATCTTAATTGACGAAATAAATAATAATAATAATAACCGTAGTGTTTTTGGAGCGACATTAGCCGTAGAAGGTTCAACGGGGGATTTAAAACGGCGTAAGTGGAAGACAAGCTTACTTTAATTTGATTAACAACTGTAAACAACATTACTATTTGAATAACAGCAGAGGTCTTTGGTTTGTTTATGTTACCAATGTCTTACTTAATGGTAGTTTATCTGCCAACACGGATACTGTAATCACAAACTAAATGTGTAAGATCTGATGGGATCCCTTAGGAAAACATTAAAATGTCCTTTCTTCTGTATATTTGTTAATGCCAAACAAGAAAACCGTAACAAAATAAAAAATATATATATACACATACAGCCACATGTGTTGTGAAGACTTTTAAAAAACACATAACTTACTTTCTCCGTGTATTAGTCCACACTGGAACACAATGCAGGTGCCGACGATAAAACACACAATTTGTGCTCTCAGCCTCAGCGTCCAGCGTCTCATTTTGACTTGGAGAGAAGTTGAGCTCACCTCTCAATAAACAAACAAAAAAAAAAACACTCCAAAGAGGGAGAAAAGTTCTCAACACGGGGTTGGGATATTAAAAAAAAAAGCAGTGGACAAATTCCTAAAAATGAAGTTCGACGTTAGCCAAGTGATTCCACGTCGCCCCCCGTCAGCCGGGGGGAGTTGAACATTTATGAGTATCTTCCCGGCCGACTTGGTGATGTCGGCTGTGTGCGCCCCGGAGAAGAACGCAGACCACTAAATGACGTGATCTCGGGTTCTGGCAACACGCGGGCGGGTACAGATGTTCATTTTCCATAAGTGAAGGCGACAGTCCACGTTCATTTGTTTAATGTTGCTGCTCCGCCGTAAACGAAGAGAGGAATTACTATTATTATTCTATATCCCCCACACTCTCACAGAGTGGAGAGAAGAAGAACCTCGGGGGAGGGGGGGGGGGGCTAGTTTGGAGGTCCCCGCAGGAGGACCAGTGGCCCCGGGCTCATTTCTCCGTAATACACCGCTGCGAAGAGGGAATACACCCACCTAGAAATAAAAACAAAACAACTGGTACGAAACGTGTCTCCGGTTTTAGAAAGAAAGCACCGATGAGCTGGAGTTGTGGGTCTCGCGGGAGCCGGAAGGACTCTTGTCTCTCTCTCTGAAGTCCACAGGTTCGGGCACCACCCAGCCCTGTTTTCGCTGGTGTCTTCTCGGAACCCCTTTAGGTCGAACGGGAGCTCATCCCGGGAAACTCCTTCGGAGGAGAGCTACGTGCGGGGCGGGGAGGGGGAGAAAAAAAACCCAAAAACAAAACAACCACAAAAAAAAACGTGCAACGAGGCAGCTCCTTTTCCCTGCGACGACCTTCCTCTGAACTCCTTCACCTCCCCTGACCAGCTCGCCCGCAGACACCCGTAAAAAACAACCGAACAAACGAACGGGGAGGGAGGAAAAAAATAACGATACGTCTTTCCCGTCTACGACGAAAGGAGGTGGAGGTGTGGGTGGATGTGGGTGGAAACGGGCTACGTTGGACCCTGCACGTTGCCGTGAAGTGAGAAAACTCTCCACCGCGCCGCCCGTTTCTTTTTCTTCAGATTAACGTTAGCTGGTGGAGGGAGGGGGGGAGCTAACGTTAGCTAAAGCTAAGCTAATCCAAAACAAACGAGGCGAGAGTTAAAAAAATAAAAATAAAAACACACACACGCGCTTTGGCTAAAGTCAGCGTCCCGTCCTCGAGAGTGAAAAACGATGAGGTCAACAAACGTGAAAAGAGTTAACAAAAAAAAAAAATAAGAAGCAAGTGTTTTTAAAAAAAAACTTGGATTCCCGTTCCGTTTTAGCGGTTGCTCTCCCTCCGGTTCCCCCTCTTTCCGTCTCTCTCTTTCTGCGAGTCTCTCCACCAGTAAACAAGTCCTGCCAGTCACCTCAGCTGGGCCGCACGTGGTCTGCGGGAAAACCCGGAGCGGAGCGGCCCGCCGCTCAACCGGCTGGATCCGGATCTGGACTCAGGCAGCGCGGCCGCCAGCGTCAAAACACCGGCGCTGTTTGTCGGAGGGGAGGAGAGGGTCGAGGGGGTTCACGCGTCCTCGTAGAGTATAATAATTGTTGTATATGTCTTTATGTATATAATGAGTTTTTAAGAAAAATAAACACGTAAAGCAGCAGATTCACTTTCTTTTATCACATACGTGTGTTCAAATGCAAAATCACGTGCTGAATTGTTGATTCTCGCCACCGTGGGTTGTTGAATCTCAATTATTTAGTCTATTCGTAGTCTTTTCTTTTGTACAGACTGTGGACAAAATAACAGCCACACGAGTCCTGCAGTAATCAGTAACCAGTTTGAGCCTGCAGTCAAAACATATTAGGATTAATCTCTTGATCATTTTCTCAATGACTTGTTTTGTCCACAAAATATCAAATCAGTTGCCGAACAATTTTCAAAAGAACAACTGTCCCGAACCCATGCAAGGATTGTAGGTTACAATCATCTGTACGATGAGAAAGAAAATCAGATAATCCTCGCATTAAAAAAAACGATTGTACTATTAATCAATAATGAAAATAGTTGCAGTTTAATTTCCGTCATTAATGTATGTTAATCTTCTCAGCTCTAACTAGTTATTTGATGACTGACTGAACAAGCCAAATTAATTAATTTGCCAACTTATCTTAAGCCTTCTCTATACATCAATGTTTTGCTTACTTAGCGACCGAGAGAAGTGTAGTTTACATATGTACAGAAATCAACAAAGAGAACTGATATTTTCAGCTGAATTTCAAGCAGTATGACAGCAGAAAACCCTTGTGGCCAGAATAAGCTCTCCCTGTGTCATGGAGCGTTGTAAACATTGCACACTGCCTTGTCCGACAGCCACGAGGTAAAGAACCTGCCTGCAGTCACACAGGTTTCCACCATTCCCCCAAATATCCACATTATCCTTATAATGAATCCTGACCTATTAATGGAACACATTACTTGGGGACCTGTTACTACTTCCAGGTCGGTGGCTGAATCCATTCTCACCTCAACATGGGACTAATGGAAGACAAGAGAACCCAATGTAGTAAAACATTTGCCTCTTTTTGATCACGTGTGCCGCTTGTGTGCCTGGATGGACACACACTGGCCCGCTCTGCTTGTGGAGCCGGCTGCTTAATCTGAGGAATGTTGTTACCCGGTGAACGGAGTAAATGAGGTCTTAGTGAGATTATATGTCACAGGTCTGAAGGACTAAGGGTTGTGGAATCTAGTCAAAACAGATCTCGTTGTGGTAGTCACGCTGTCTGACGCCACAACTGGAGGCGCGCACACACATGCAGCCTCTGTCCTTGTGTTCTCTTCACACACACACGCACACACACACACACACACACACACACACACACACACACACACACACACACACACACACACTTCCTCTCAGGTGCTCTGCACCACTTTCTTTCCCTTTTCAGTATAGAGGAAGTCAAGTGAGTGACTTTCTATCCCACAAGCACAAGAGTGCTGTTTCGAGTCTGCACACACAGCCGCCGTACTACCTTCATTTCAGTAGGTGGCACTAAAAATAACTCCAGCCAATTCACTTACTCCAAACGTCAAACCGGGACAAAGGGATACAACGATTTCAATGAATGGGATTAACTCCGGCCAGAGAGAGAGAAGTGTGTAGGGAGATCTGGGTGATGCCAAATAATCATAATGTGGATTATAATGCGGTTTGTGGAAGTTCATTGCTTCATATACTGACTGCAAATGATGAATTTGGAACATAGCATGGCTGTTTGGTCATTCATGAACGTCTTTTTATTTATTTTTTTTGTAACTCACACAGGCAATCAATCTGTAACAACATGGATGTTGCAAAGCCGCCGTTTCTGTGAGTAACATGTTGACACATCTCTTTTTATCTCAAGCTCCGGGGCAGATTCACCACGTTTCCGCCCGCTATCTGCACGTTGATTCAGACCGCGGGATATGCAGATATGTGGATGTCACGAAGATGGGTGATGGTTGAAGAAAATTTGCTTGGTCAGCGCACATTACGTCAGTGAACGCCGCCCATGAAGCCCTTCAAAGGCCCAGCGTACAGCTTTTCACCTTCTGACGGCACACATCCAGCTTTGCAATAATGTCAGCAAGAGCACAACAAAATACTCTTTTGTCCCTTCAGGTCCGGCAAGGCAGATACACGGAACAAGGGAGCATTGCTTTATTTGATTTGGATCACTGATTCCAATAACAAATTATATCTTGATAGCATCAGCCCATTTAAGCAAGCAGAAGGTCAGGTGACATACAACAGCTCCTTGGAGCTACTCACCATTTATCAGTGCAGTCGGGATCCCCACACCAAAGCCAACGAGTTATAAATGCATACATTTGCGATTCCCTCTCCTGCCTTCCGACACTAACTCTACCGACATATTCAGTACGTTTTTTTCCCCCCACGAACATCTAAAGGCCAAAACAAACTCCCGCTCATTCCCTCCACAGTTGCCTGTGCTGTAGCCTGTAAATGGGGGGGATTAACACAATTGAATGGAGAGAGTCTCTTTCCTTTTGTTGGCACGGGTAGCTCAGTCATTAGCTTCCCCCGGGAGCCACGAAGCAGGAACCTCCGTTCATCCTGTGTGCGCCTGTGTGTGCGGGAGGGCATCTGTGTGTGTTTGTGAGTTTGAGATGTCCAACCCAGGAGAGGGTCATGAGCTTAAACAGAACCCCCCCCCCCCCCCACCGCCTGGATTATCCTCTTCAAACGGCTCCCTGTGTTAGTGATTTACACTTATAAGCACTTGCTGTTCCTACGCTTCAGTCCGTCCAGCGGAGACAAACAGACAAACTCACTGTCTGATTCCCTGGTTGTTTCTCCTCAGCATGGATTAGGAAAAATAAGGGTCCACCTTTATTGTCCTCACGAGCTTCGCGTTGCTCTTCTGCACACGTGACATCAGGAAAAGGGAGACGGCAGAAAAACACACAACAGGATACGCTGCATTTACTATGGCAGACGTCCTCCATGTGTTTATTCCTGCACATCTGCAGCGATATCCTCATCAAATCAATGAATCCCCTCTTCATCTTTCAAAAGGAAAACGAGGTTCAGATGTACTCAGAAACACTGTATAAAACTCCTAGTGTAGGAGGTCTTTGATGTGGAACTCTTCTTCCTGGACAGGTGCAGTGTGTGTGGGGGCGTATGAAAGGCGTTGGGATTTTGTGGGTCTTTTTTTTCTCCAAATATTAGCTAAGCTGTGCTGCTTGATATGATAAACAGCGTACCTGCAAATTGTGAGCATATTGTTAGCTGTCAGCTTGCCTCTAGGAGTGCTATAAAGTAGCTGTAGGGTGCTTAACCTGTTTGTATATCCAGCATCTCGGACAACAACATTGCCCTCAGGATGACCAACCTTCACACTGTGTTTGTTCCAATGGGAACGAGGGGGAATCTGGACGAAGTGGACTGGCGATCCGGGGGGAAGCGAAGGAG